GGGTTCTGAGCAATACGAAATAGAAAAATAGAAATGCGAGGATTTCGGCATTAAGCCTTGTCAAAAAACACCCCAGCTTTCACCTCCTCCTAATGCCTGCTGGTAGTCCCCAAGAAAGGAGGCACATAACTCTAAGTCAGCTCAAATTTGCAAGTATCTGAACTACTTGCTGTTTTAAGATTTCCTTTTCCTGGCCCCTTTTTAAGCTATTTATTCACTTTTACTCTGCCTGTTGCAAATTGCCTTTTTTCATAAAATACCACTGTTTATTTTACTTCCCAATGATTCCTGGGAGAGTGGTTGGTCTTTGCAGTTTGGCAAGCTGATGGCCTTGCTTAAGAATAAAAATGGAAGACCTTGCTCGGCTCTTAGATCCTGGTCCCCAAAGGGTGGTCATTAGTGCCAATCTTTCTAATGATCATTGCACCGTATGTAGCAGACCAACGCACAAATGGTGTATTATAAAGAAGTTGTAATACCCACTCTGCTCTTTTCTTCAGCAACGCCATGGGATTTTTAAGTGCTAGAAAACTGGACAGACAATTAGCTGGACCTCTTAAAGAAAAAAAAAATAAATTGGGTAGTCCAAAGTTCTGTTAGGCCTAACTGGGAGAGCTTCAGTAATTAAATAATCCATATTTATGCTTGACCTGTGAAATGAGACCATGGGTGGAGGTGAGGCGTTAGCTGTTACACTTGTGAGCACCATGTAACACACGCAATGATACTTGCTCAGGTTTGCAGTTAGTCTGAAGCAAGAGCTGTTTGTAACAAAAAGCTGCTAATTCCGTGTTAGCAGTGATGTGAATTTTAAAACTGGTTGTTTCTGTGCTCACCTGAACATTTGAGAAAGAAGAAGCAGTATCTTCCTTTAAGCATCGTGGTACAGATGGGTACATCCAGAAGTCTGAGATGGGCCGTGGAGTTTTGCCAGCACTGGAGAAGCAGGATGTGTATTTTTTTAAGATAGGAAGAGTTAACTTTGTTTCCCTGAAGTTTGCCTTTAAGGAAAGAGTAGAAAAGATATGTATGTTCACCTAACCGTATGCATGTTTATACAAGCGTATATATTACTTACATAAATACACACACATCCCTTGTCAGGTTGCTGGTAAATTAAATTACTTCCTGTTGGAGATCTGGCAAGAGGGATTTCTTTTTTTAAGTACGGGCTTGAAGAGATGCCTGGACAAGCTGGGCTAGATAAGCATGTGGCATGTGGCGAGATCAGCGAGGAAGGAGGTAGGAAAGAATAACAAGGAGATGTAAAAGTTGGCCCGACTGGCGAGGCAGAGGCGCTGTCTGCGCTGCAGCTGGAGGAGGGATTGCTGAGCGGGTAGGCACGGCATAGCCAGACTCAGTTTAACCAACTGCAGCGAAGATGTGGCATTAGAGATCTGACGTGGGCTAAAGAGCCAAGGTTACTGGTGGGTTTGCACAGTTTGTGCTGCTCTGGCTTAGACTGCTGCTGTAGACGAGCCAGCTTGGGTGTCTTTCAGCAGCCTTATAATAAAGGCAGAGTGAAACAATGAAGTATTGTTGTTTATATGGGCTGGAGATAGCACTTAACACCCAGCCTTGGTGCTACATGCAGTAGTATTGGAGATTGCTGGGAACGCATCTATCTTAGCTTCTGGAAGGAGCCTGGAAGGAGCTGTTGAGGCAGAGCCCAGGATGGTGACGAGAAGCAAGCTGTCCTCATTTGTCACGAGCAGTTTGCTTTCCTGCTTGTGTCCAGAGAGGAATGAAAGGATTCCTGGTTGCTTTTCTGCTGTGTGCATCTCAAGATGTTAATACCAGTAGTCATTTCAAGCTGGCTGGCTGCCAGAAAATGAAGCATAACAATGCTTATCCTCTTAAACTTAGAGAGGGTTTAAAACTAGCTTATAGATGATTAATATCAGACCTGGGAAGGGGCTTGTGGGGAAAGAAGGGCAAATAGTACCATTAAAAGGCTGACTGGTCTCAACTGAATTGTATGCCTCTTTTCCAGTCCGCTTGTTCTTGATATTCAGAGTAAAACTGAAACACTCAATACTGAATGTCCTGAAACAATTACTAGGGGAAATTTTTGAACCAGACTGCAACAATTCTAGGGTTTAGTTTTGTGACAAATGACTGTCCTTCCTCTTGCAATTAAGTGAGTGCCCCTTTTGCATGCATTAAACCCATACCCAGACTGTTGAGCATGCAGCTTAAGCAAGCGCCTCCCAATCTGTAGACTTTTGCAAAAACCAGAACAAAGCCAAAAAGGAAACCTCAGAGACCAGCAGCTGTGGTTAATGAGTTGAACTTTATTGAACAGTTGCTTTTCTGCCCACCAGAAACTCTGGTTTATACTTCGTCCTTATCAGTTCCTTCATCGCCCAGAGGTCTCTGCAGGTTAATCAGAGGAAAGCTGAAATCTGAGAGCCCAAAAGGCAGCTGCCATGCAAGTGTATGGCAGAAAATCCCATTCTGGAAAACAACGCATGTTCCCAGAAATAGTGTCAGGATACCCTCGAGACAACGTCATCATTGCTGTTCCTGAGCCCTTGTGCTGTTGTGGCAAAGCTGGAGCCTGTGAGCAGTCTGGTTATGCACGTTATATTATGGAGCATCTTTCCCCAGAGAGCTGAGGTGTTTAGTAGGGAGCAAGTGACTCTTTACAGATTCCTCTTGTGCCCACTCAGCTCAGAGAGTGCTGTTGAAGGGGTATCATCCTCTGCTGGATTCAGGCTAAGGACAGTTTGGGAAACCCTCCAGGAGTTGGTTAGTGATCAGCACGCACCTACTGATATGCCTAATCCACATGTGAACGGGAATTCATTTCGTTACTGGGGGCAAAATTTTGGGCGGGAATGCAGGGCAAGGAGGTACTAACAGATCTTTCTGGTATTGACTTAATCTTTCCTGAAAAAGTCAGGATTTTTTTTTCTGCCCCAACATCTCATGGGTGCTTAATCTGTTTTTGTCTGGGATATAACAGTTTTACTTAGAATTTTCTAAGCCTGACAGAGGATATGATTAATGCTGTTCATATCTGTTGTGTTTGCGTGTGTGAAGGATCGCCTGTTCTTTGTGATGGAGTTCGTAAATGGCGGGGACTTGATGTTCCATATTCAGAAGTCGCGTCGCTTCGATGAAGATCGGGCCCGGTTCTATGCTGCAGAAATTATTTCAGCCCTTATGTTTCTCCATGAAAGAGGCATCATTTATCGGTGAGCTCTGCATTCATTCATTCATTCTCTTTGTCTGAACCCCACGGCTGAGACGATAGCTTGAGTTTTCTGCTTGAATAAATAACTGTCACTTGCTGCCCACCAGGAACAAGTTGTCAGCTGGGATAACAGTACCTCCACTTTCCCCCTGCGCATTGTCCAAGGTGCACCAGCCTCCAGGAAGGAGTGAAATTTCTGGCTGCAGTATTGACGACAGGGAGGGTTTTCCTATGACGTATGTGTGAGCACATAGAAAAACAGGTTTTCCTTCCAAGGCACAGGGGCTAGATTTTGCATTGGTGTAAATTCACGTTGCTCTGCAGACGTAGCTGGTTTATAGCAGCTCCAGAACTGCCCTTTGTCTGCACCTCAGGTGCCTGCGTGGCTGCTGGGCGTTAGCTGCTGACCAACAGACGCCTCCACCGTGCCGCTCTGGGCCTGTCCTGCCACCGTAGAGCACAGGTCAAACTGATGACAAAGGGAGAGGCATTAAGTGAAACCTTCCTAGATTTGCTGGGAGGTAAATGCTAGGAGCTGTTGCTTTTGCCACTTTGTGCCTTGTTATTTAAAGGCTAATATGTGCTGATTACACTCAGGCCTCTTTGTTTCCCTGCATTAGCTACAGGCCCGTGTTTAAACCCTATCTATTTGACATACCTATCCAGTGCCTGTCAGCTCAGCCACTAAAAGTCTTTTCATTCCTGCCATGATCCTACAGCAGGAGTTTTTCCTTCCTGTCCATGTCTGGCATCTTTGTGTTTGCAACAGGATAGGACCATCATTGCCTCCCCAGCATCAGCCTCCGCTCCCAGGTCTCAAGGCTGTTGTCAGGAAGCTGTTTCCCATACACAGCACTCTTTTTTTTTTTTTTTTTTTTTTTTTTTTTTTTCTTTTTTTTGTCATTCCTCTGTACTCAGGGGGGCAGTTTGGTTATATTTGTTCCCTTCTATACTGCCAAAGTGCTCCACTGTCGGCTCAAGCATCAAGGCATGGATCAGGCAGCCAGTCTGCTTTGCAGAGGCCTCCCTGACCAAGATGGCCATTCGACCAGCATCATCCCATGTAAGCCAGGGGCAGAGCAAGAGCTCTTCTGGGGTGGAACAGGACAGCTAGAGCAGAGAGATGCCAGCACTGAGACAGTCTGGTTATACAGAAAGGTTTCTTTCTGACATGCTTTGCAGAACACCTCTGGCATCCTCTTGCCCAGAGCACTGGAAAGGAGGAACAGTCAGTTGTTTTCTCTGGATACTGTTACCTGGCTTCCAGCAGCAAAGCATGCATATTTGGGTATGGTCTGCTCTAGCCCTGCTCGGTCCCACTTGTGGCATGCCAGCACTGTAAAGAACAACGTCAGCTCTCTCTTTTTGCTGCTTGGCTATGATGGTACAGCTGGGACCCACAACTGGGTCCAGGATGGGACCAGTTCCAATCCCAGTCAGGCTCTGTTAATGCCATTTCAGACTGTGGGTTGGGCCAAATGCTGTTAGGGCTTTGCATTGTTTAACCCAGGCAATGCAGTCCTGTGTTTAGTAGTGCATCCTCCCTTATCGGATAAACCCCGGTTTGAACACACCGAAACCAGAATAGCTGAGGGCTAAAGTGGCCAAAGGGCCGGGGGCTGTGCAGGGAGAACTTTCCTATCTGGTGGTGAGATGATAGGATAAATCAAGCAAAAGCAACTTCTCTTTATCTTCCTAGCTTGGGCTCCAGTAAGAAACAGATGGTCAGGTGAGGACAGAGAATATTAAATTATCTTTAAGTATGAAATCATACGATATACGTGGCATGGTGAAATAGAGAAGGAGTGTCATTTTAATATTCTCCGGGTCCTGAGAGTATGAAAATTACTAGTGATATACACCATATGAATCGAGCTTCTAAAGCGCTGTGATTGTCTGCATAGAATAGCAAATCTACTTACCCTGCAACTGGATTTCAGTCTAATTCTTCCCTTGTGAATAATGCCAGCCGCTGAAGAGAGACCCTGCCAGATAATTACACAAATGACATTATCCTTAAAATAGTGACATCCAGTAGTTATTGTCAATCATTCAGCAGCAAAACTGTGTCTGTGCATAATGTAATGCCACTGTGCTTACCGCTTGTCCTGTCCCGCCTAGCCTGCTGCCTGTCACAGGGCAGGAGTAATCAATCCCTCTGGGTTTTGGCACACTTCAAGTTCTGCCATAATTCATGATAGAAACTGGAGGAGTAATTGAAAAGCTCCTTGAACAACTGCACAGGCTTTGATCTTGTCGAGAAACTGGTTGAGCTGTGGAGTCAGGTAGCTTCAGCTGATTGGGGCAGATTTGCATAGGGATGACTTGTTTTTTTAAAATTAGTCGGGGTGACTCCATTCTGGAAGATGTCAGAGGAGAGAGCTGCTGGCTGCGGCTGTGCTGAGCTGAGGTTGCTTCTGTCAGGTCACGAACACCGGGCTCCAGGAGGTTGGAAGGAGATACTCAGAAGGGAATCACTGCACTTGTGTAAGAGTTTGGAGATTTTATGATCAGAATGTGAGTGCTTGCTTAGGAGGCTGGGAGCAGGGGGGAGAGACACCAGGAAAAGCCTGACCAGAAAGTGTTTTGCCACAAGCTGTTCAAAGTGCCTCTTCTCTCTGGATTCCCAGGGTCAATGGAGTAAGAGAGTTGCTGGCCTAGAATACCAGCGCTATACTGGGCTAAACTTAAACATAATAATACTCTATTTTTTCGTGCCCCCTTCAACATTAAGCAGATCAGGAAACAGTCTGCATTTACTGTTTAACAGTCAGCACAATGAGCGTTCTCCTGGTAAGTCAAGTTGCTTTTGCCACAAGTGCTGCCAAAAGCTGAGTCTTCTGTCCTTTGAAATGCCAGAGAGGCTTGAGAGCCAGCACTGAAAGTTCATCAAGAAGTAGCTGAAATATGTCACTTTGGCCTGGGGTGACAGTGCTGGTAACAGCTAAAATCAGGTGTTTGTTGATTCCTTTTCCAGCCACATATGCAATCTGAAATAGCCATAGTGCAATATTTCTGCAGTTGCTACTGTGAGTCCATGAGAATGGGGTTCCTGAGGCAGATAGTGTATTTTGGTTATATGTGACTTTTTAAACATCAAAACAAGGCTTACTGCTGGATTAGTGCTCTCACAGGATGGTTTTCATGACGCAACTGAAATTTTCAGTAAGTCTGCTTCTCACTTCAAGAAAAGTCTGCTTTCTGGTTTTTTTTAAGCCCTGGCCAGAATAGAAGTCACATAAACATACATGTGTGTATTTGGGTTTTTTTTTAAAAGAGAGGTTTCAGTTTCACAGATTTTTTTTCTTTTTTTTTTTTTTTTTTCATTTGCAACACTGCAAAGGAGAGATAGCTTTCTGGCCTTATCAAGGAAACATCTCTGTCTTGCCCTAAGCTGAGGTTTAGCTGTCAACTCAGCAGTGCCTATTTATAGGTGCTCCCTGAAAAAAATGTTGACAAGTACAGAGTGGTTCCTTATCCCATCATACAGGGAGTAGGGCTAGAACGAATCCAGCCATGAAAGCAAGCTTTTCGACACGTCAAATCATAGTATATTGTGCACACCACAGAGGAGTAGGACAAGGACATATTTGGGATCAGCGCCTGCTGTATGTTGTCAGGAAAAGGTTAGGCGATAACCAAAGCTATTATAGATAAAATCTTTGCTCACAGGGCAGTATACTTGCACTGCTGCTTTCTTTAAGCTTATTTCTAAAGGAAAATAGTATGCTGGGTCCTGTTGCAGGTGGGTCAGTTGGTTTGTGATTTTTAGCTAAAGACTGTATGTGCTATTTTTCTTGAGGCAGCTTTTCCCGACTTTCACTTTCCAGTTCAGCACTTCCCAGGGTAGGGGAAGCATATTTTGGCTTCTGTGCATGCCGGAAACAAAACATAACAGCATGCACATCTGAGCAGTATTAGACTGCACAGTGGCTTACTCAATGGAAGTGAGCTAGTCCACTCGTAGTCTTCTAAAAAGCAAAGAGATAGTAAATGATTATAAGGGTTTGTTTTAAAAGCAGGACTTTTCCTTTCATGTAGCATTACTGTAAGAATGGCTGGTCTCCTCTGCTGTCCTCAAATTCAAACCTTTGCATAGGTTGATGTACAGCTTTGCTAGTAGATGGGTCTACTTGCCAAGGTCGCCTACATGGTTTCCCTCAATAGAGGCATCCACCTGCATAATGAGGGCAAATGCAAATGCTTCCTTAAACTTGGTTGAGGGGTGAGGGGGGTGGCAGGGGAGGGGGCCTAGGGGTTTGCCCTGCAGACTCCTTATATTTCAGAAGGATAACAGCCTTTTTACAGGCAACATGGAGCAATCAACACAACCCAATGGCATGGTCTTGATTTTTATGACAAACCTTCTTTCTCTTCCTCTGCAAATGTGTCTCACTGGTAGGATGCATGGGCTGAGATAGTCACTTTTCAGAACATGTCTCCACTACCTGCAGAGGTGAAACAGCATGCAGTACATGGTGATGTACCTCAGCTAACTGTAGGCTAGCTATATCTGGAAGCAGAGGCAGTGTCACCTTTGTACCCTGGACTTCAATGCTGGTTTTGCTATCCTTGGGTATGGAGTGGGATAGCAGAGAGAGATACGTGACCCAGCCCACTGCTTGGCACAGCACAGTGGCAGATATATCATTAAGGGTATAGATAGTATAGCATGTAGGTAATATACCTGATCAAGAGCCAGATGAGCTGAAAGGCTGGGCTGGAGAGCTTGGGAGGACTGGTTGTTGGCTGGCTGAAGAACCTTGTTTTTATCCTGAGGGCTTGTGCTAGTTAGCTTATTCCACTGCCTTTGCATCTGTATTGATATTTCTAATGCAACTGGCCCTTCTAGAGATGTTTGGGGTCTGCTTGTGCTCCGTCACACCTCTGAACGTGGGATGGTGTGCAGAGTCCCCATGCTCTGATGTGGCACCAGCCGCCAAGATAAAAAGCAGCAAACTATTAAGTAGGTCCCGTAACTTGACTGTAGTCACAGGGCGA